AATGGTGCCCAGTGATTCGAAAAACAGAGAATGATGGAAAGTTCATGTCCGACCCGCGACACCTCTGTCCACCGAAAACAGATGAAGGTCTGCTACGGCACCTGCTGTCATGGTCGCGCATGACATCGTCGATCACTCCGGCATAGCTCCACGCAAGTTTTGAGTAAATCGCTCCTATTTGAATTTGAACGGAAGGAACGATGGAATACCTTATTTCGAGAGCTGTTCATTCGCTCATTTATGAGACTCAACCAAAGCGTATGCATACAATAGAAGGAAGGAACGGGGGGACCTGCAGGCAACTATTCCTCGCGATGCATTGCTTGTGGAAAGAGTAGAGAATTTTGACGCACGCGCACCGGTACTGCTGTTGGTTTGAGGGTCTCACATGTTGTAGCGTTAGCCTATAGTGCAAGACAGAGGGGCGTCGCAAGGTGAACCGATAGTGTGCAATTAGCCAACATCTCATGATGCCAAGCAACAGCGCCGGGGACGAAGAGTTATTGTCCTTGAAATGTTAACGCCGCTTCCCTGTGGTTATGACGCTTGAACTTTTAATCCCCATGCACGTTTTTACAGCGAGGATAGCTACTGCTGATGTCCTGTTTGCCCTCCTGCTTGCTGTTTCCGGCGCAAGTTCCAGGCCATCTACTGTCACCCTTGCTCTGGTGCATCCATCCATCCAGCCCCTTGCCCGCTCAGCACCACTCTCCCCCCCCTCACGGTATGGATTGGCATCGTTCGAAGGTGCTCGAGCAGTACGTCCTCACGGATATCAAGACGAGGATGGGCACTACAGGCTTCACTTCGGTACAAAAGCGACCCCGACCACGACGGTATTGCCGTACCTTCCCCGTGTGCGAGGCTTTTTTCGAAAAGGCGTTTTCTGCGAAGGGCGGCGGCGGTGAAAAACCTTGGACGTCATCAGCGACATGTACGTTGCCTTTGTTGAAATGTGAACTAAGCTCTATGGGGCTCAGGGTTTTTGTTGTCTTTAGCATATTCTTCTAACCCTATCTCCCCTGGTGTACTGTCGGCAATTTGTCAGGCCGATAAGCGCTCATTGGACGTGCAAGCTCTGCCGAACGTCCAACACTCTCGTAATTTTTTTTCCGGACGCGTTTCCAGCCTTTTAAATCATTTCCCCATATTTTCAGCGTCCCCTGAAGTTGCTCCCAGGCAGTCGACGCGCTGGTGGTTTGTCGCAAGCTATTTATGTATGAACCCGTGACGTCAAACAAACTGACGTTCACATGGAACGCTATTTGTTTTTTTTTTTCGTGTCTCAGGTCCTAGGAGAGCTTTATGCGGTTCGGCTTGGAATACGTTGGGCCGATCCTCTCCACCGAGAGTGTTAATCGTCAGGAAGATGCTAAGCGCTACCTCAAGCCGTGCTTGTTCGCGGACGAGGGGGCAGGAGGTGGAGGAGGTGACCCAGGGGCGGATGGGGGTGGAGGGTAAACTAAAGATGGAGACGGGGATGTTCTTCGTCTCCGAGCGAGAAAAGCGATGGTCCTGATGACTACGCTGGCTACAAAGCCTTGGCGGACACCTAAACCGTGTTGACAAGGTATGTCATGTGTCTTGTCCTTTCCAAAAATCGTGTCCCTCTTGCTGCCTCTTTCGCTCTGCCTGCGATGATGTCGGATGCTTGCGTGTTTCTCGTCGTGCATCAGTTATGCCCGCGGCTCCCTATAATGTACACCCTTCCTCATCCCAGCGTGTCCGTTGGCGACCCCTGATGTTCGAATGTACCTCGCCTCCCTTCAAAGTAGTTCTCCGGGGGTGCGTAGCTTATCCTCGTCTCTGACGTATTCTACGACCTGCGGTTATGCTGTCGGTTTGTGTCCCCCCCCCCATGCCTGCTTGCAAATATTATTGTTGACAATGTACATCTGTCAGCTATACCAAGAACTATATATACTGCAGTAAAGGGGGAGAGCATGCCCTCCATTTCTCGATGGCCCACTTTTACCCTCTTCTCACACTTCAATATTATTTCGCTGCTGATCGGTAACCTCCAGGTCGAGTCGCCGGGGCCTCCGCTGCAACATCGTTCAAAGCGTTTCCTCGGGTCCTCATGACGTTCACAACGGGTGGAAGCTTTGACGGAGGAGGCGGAGAAATATCCCGCTCGCCATGTCTCACAGTTTTCTTTTTATCATATGGTGTTATGATACGCTTGTTGCTCTCACTGGTGCATGAGGGCGCCTGGCGCGGGATGAGAGCCAGGTGTTTTCTTACTGTGTCTGCAAGGGCATTTGGAATCTGTCGCTTAAGCCTCTTGGCTTCGTCCGCGCCCTTTTTTGTCCGTGCGAATTGTGGCTTTTTTGGGGGAGGGGAGGGGGGAGTTGTTTCAATGGTGTTGGGAAAGTAGAGAGGTCTATTTCTGCAGTCTCTGCATTGTTTTTGGAGGACACCGCTGTCGCAGATGGCTCCGTCTCAGGCAGTGACGTTTTTTCTTGACTAGAGTTTTTTGTAGAATTTGGGACGGCCAGGGTGGGGGGGGGTTCTGTGTTTCGTGTCGGGAGAGACGGTCGTTTCTACCTGTGCGTTTGGACAACACTGCTGCCGCTACGTGTAGCTGTTGCCTCCGGCTGAGTTGTGCTTCCTCACAACAAAGGTAGTTTATTGCGGGGATTGTGGGTCGTCTCCATGATCGACGTCGCTGACGGTCATGGGCGAGGGCATGCTGTTGTTGTGGGGGGACATTCAATACACAGAACGACGTTCGAAAGGGTATGCGTGTATTGTTTGAATTTGAAGTGTACCTTTTATGGTTCTCGCTTACATGTATTCGTGCAACTTGGGATGTTGACGGCCCTGGGTCGAGATGATAAGCCGCGGGCGGAGATGGATTTAAGCTAGAGCTGGCAACATGCGTATGATGCGTGGGCACGGGATGTCGTTGTTTCGGGAGTTTGCTCGGGAATGTACCGACGGTAAGATTGTAGTGATTCGAATGCAGGGGGCGAAAAAACAAATATAACATGAACAAAAAAAAAACGTTTTGCAGGGGAATTGAACCCGCCACTACGGTGTTGAGCACTGCTGTTTGTTGTAGACCGGCCGCATCGTGCGCAACCTCTATGAGAGGGTACGCATTGCAATACGCAACCTGCCCCCTACCGGCTTGTGCGCAACGCGCCAACCTGCAAGAGAGGGTACACCTTGCACTATTACCGGCAACCTGCCCCCCAACCGGCTTGTGCGAAGAGCGCCAACCTGCAAAAAAGGGTACACCTTGCCATACCATAGGCAACCTCCCCCCTAACTGACTTGTGCATGGCGCGCCAACCTCCAGGAAAGGGTACACCTTGCGCTGCCATCGGCAGCCTGCCCGCTGTCCAGCTTGTAAGCAGTGCACCAACCACAAGAAATGGTACACCTTGCGCCGCCATCGACAGCTTGACCCCAATCCGGCTTGTTAGCAGCGCACCAACCACCAAGAAAGGGTACACCTTGTACTACCATCGGCAACCTGCCTCCTATCCGGCTTGTAATAGCGCACCAACCACCAAGAAAGGGTAAACCTTGCACTACCATCGGCAACCTGCCCCCTATCCGGCTTGCAAACAACGCGCAACCTCCAAGAAAGGTATACCTTGCACAACCTGGCCATCGTTGAATTGCAACGATTACCCAAGGTGGGGAGGTTGCAACTCGTGCGAAAATAAATATCGATTCAGGTTGGCAAAAGTGCCCTTACAACCCGTGTGACCTATTAGTCTATGTGCCTACCTTGTGCCTAGACTACAGCACTAAAGGCATAGATACTGCTGCACATACGACATACACGCAAGTTCTTTGCTCGTTGTCGGGTGATGTGGCGTGTACTGAATGCTGTCATGAAATAAATTGCCGCGTCAAGCAAAATACAACAAATGTCCAAGGGTCGCAAATGCTTACCACATGGCTCGTAGCAGAGTCTAGACATGTATTTTTTTCTTGTGTCGAAAGCTATGTACTCGTCCAGCACATTGGTCCACCTGCTTATTTTACATAGCGTGTTCGGCCGTCCACAACCTAAACCTCGCACTGCATTCCAAGGCTGCCGCATTCCACTTAGCGATCTACACTCCTATGCTACTGCAGCACGCGTGCTGTATGCCGTATCTTGATGTGGAGAAAGAGCTCACCTGCTGTGCCGTGCGTCTTGGTTGGCAGCCGCTGCAGCAATCTCCGAGCTCCAAACCCTAAGGCATCCTCAGGGTCTTCGAAGGGTGCGTCCTCCTCTCCCCCTCCCGTAGTACCGTAAAGCTTTTTCTTCATCGAATGCGACGCAGCCGCTGCTGCTGTGGCGGGAACGTCCTCGAACCCCACCTATCTATGCTGCTGGGCGGTGCCTGCTGTTGTTTCTCAGCAGCACACGGGACTTCTCGCCACTACCTCTATCTCGGGTCCTCGGACCTGCGGGCCCGTTTGGCTTTGGGGATCTGTCGACCTTGCATCTGTTGTACTACTGTGCTAGTGGGTTGGCTATGTGTTCCTTGTTGCCGCTGTAGGGACTGTGTCTCCACTTCCTCCATGGAAGTGGGTTTCTGCTTCCATGGAAGCTGTATTCATTTGTCCAATAGTGCGGAAGATCGCGGAAATCGGGGACCGACAACGATGTCGACCTGGCCAAGCATGTGCACACCCGGGACGTTCTGAAGGGAGGAGGGGTTGAATTCTGCCAACTCCGGCAATGAACGGAGGCACACACGAAACGTGTCCACAACCCAAAAATCCAAGTATCCAAGTTCCAGTGGTAGTAGGCTGTGCTGGGATGAGTTGGTTGGACGCAGTAGCTACAGCATGTGCACTGCAAACCGCAGTATCCACGAATTTCCAAGAGCGGCGGCGCAACTGGTGCCGGTTCGGGATGCAAATTTACTCCGAGGACCGAGGACCGCGTTTTGCCCCATGGGGAGAGAACAGGAGAACCGCAATCGTGAGCTAGTTAGGGGCATGGTGGCAGAAGCCGTAAGGAACGTGCGTTGCTCTTTCCGCCGATCAACATGTTTTCCCATGTAAGCAATGCCTTCCCTTCAAGCTTCAGCGAGTTTTCCAAGAGCATCACGAACACGATCGCGAGCCAGCTAAATCTCTCGGGGAATAAGCGGGAGGTCCCCAACTACAAGGCGGACGGAGATGCGCACACTCCTCCTACCATTGACCCAGATGTGTTACTTTCATATTATGCGCACGCTGCCGAGCACCGACCGTCGAGTCGCCTTCTGAAAGAGAGAGTGTTCGACAGAAGACTCAAAGGGCCTCGATCGGCGAATTTGCTTGTGTCGGGTTCGCCGATTTTCGAGAGGCCCTGGAGGTGCGTGGAGCGTGTGGGGGCACGGTGCCTCGTGTGTCGCACTGCGAAAGGGATGTGTACTACTGTATACATGCCGCGAAATCGATTGGGTAGATGCTGTTACACAGGTCATTTTTGGTTGTTGTCAGCTACTGCCTGTTGTTAGAAAAGGTGCTTCCAAGTGAGGCTGCAAAACCTAGCGTGACTTCAGGAGTCTATTGCTGAGCACAGCGAGCCGTCGGCCTCTCTACTTCCAGGTACTCTGCTCATTGCAAAGCTCAGAGGGAAGCTATGAAAACGGTGTGTGCCAAAGGATGCCCCCATGGGTTGGAAAATTGGCAAACTGATGACTCTCGTCACACATGTTGTATACTGCACCATCGCCGACCTTGTCGTCCAACTCGACTTGTAGGATACTGCTTTAGAGTCACCACGGCATCTTGCGCACTCTGTTTCAGGGCTCCTGAACGTGCTCCAGGACGCGGCAACAAGAGGAGATCCAGCTCAGCTCAAAGCTTCGGCGCCCCGTATCGACCAAAAACAGCCGCGAGTCTACAGAGTGGCAAAAACCTCCAGGATTCCAGCGGCAACCATCGGAGGAGTTCACACTCTCTCGGGGGCGTTTCCGGGGAAGAATGCGTACCCCTTTCTGCGGGAGGGCTGCAACAACGGGTGAAGAGAACCCAGAGGCACGAACAAGCAGGGGAAGGTTCCCAAGAGATCGCGGGATGGCGAAGCAGAGGCGTGCCCAAAGCTTCGACGCGGGCGAGAACAAGGTCCTCCTTAACGGCGACACCTCCCGAGGTATTGCCGCAAATCCCGCACGGCGACCCAACCCCAGTGCCGGCAGACGACCACGCCGAGCAGGGTGGACTGGGAGAAGGTGGCCTCGGGCACGAAGATTGTAGAAAAAGCGACGCTCCTGCTGCCGAAGAACCTACCGAGACGCTTTCGGAGAGGCCGTTGACGGCTCCTTCCGCTGTAACCCTGTCGCCCGAGCGCGTCGGTCAACGTGCCTTAGACTGTGATGTAGGAGTTGACGGGGTGGCCGACGAGGCCACCACCGAGCCGACAAGCGGCGAGACCTCGGCCGCTTCGCCTGGGTGGGGGCCTCGTCGATCGTCCAACGACGGTGATCGAAGAAGTACAAGCTCGACGAGAAAATCGATTCGATCAAGCGATGCCGACCGAAACGACGACAATGTCGGCCACACGCGCCCGGAACAACACGCCAGAGACCGCATGACACGCCCACGCACCACCCCAGCAGTGGCAACGCCAGGAGTGGGGGCTTCGTTTCGCACATCAGAGACAATCCTCTTCGATGCCCAACCTGTTCCTCCATCGCTACTCAGTCGCAGGCCATCGACAACGGCACCGCCCTCCCGACGCCCTACCATCGAAACCGACGCCGCCCTCTCGAGGTCCTCGCTGCTACCGCCGGCCTCCACCGCTTCGGCACCTTCGCTTCCGTTCGAACGTGGAAGCGCCATCTTGGGAAACTCGGTCGTCGGTGGAAGCGGCGACAGTCGAAGAGTGGGAGGATCAGACAATTGTGAATTTTCAACAGCCGGAAGAAGTGGTGAAGACTGGTTTTCCAGCTCCCTGTCTGGAGCCACCGGTGCCACGTGGACGAAACGGTGGCACCCTGGGGATAGTGGTGATCTCGATGTGGGGTCCGAGTCGGTTTACGGCGAGAGCAGCTGGCAGAACGAAGGGGCGGCGGCGGCGTGGACCAACAATGGTGCGGCTACTGGAGCGGGGTGGGGGGGAGAAGACCAGGTAAAGATTGCATGAATGCTTCCATTGCGCGTTCCTCGACGGCAATGCGTCCGTTGCGCGTTCCTCGACGCTTCAACGCCGAGAAACCACAGCGAACCGTGAACATGCATGAATATAGCGTCATGTCGTTGTCAAGCACGGTTTCGTTTTATCGCCAAATTTCAGGCGACCTGCTTTAGGAGTCTCCACACCATACATACTATCGAAAACTGCGGTGTGTTAGCGCAACCAAACACGTTCTAGTAGCATCATAGGATGCCACAGGGAACTTTGTTCGGGATTCTGGCCTGACCTTGTAGCTGGGCGGGGTTGGTTCGCCATTCTTCCGACGATGTCGCGTTGTTGACTGTTTGAAGTCATGGAAGTGATTACGGGCGTATGCATGAGAGACCACCTGTGTTGCGCCATTCTTCATGTCGCTCGACAATTCCCAGATGGACAGGGTGGCCGCAGCTCCGAAATCGGTAGCGGCGTTCGGCCGGAGGCAGCGCGGTATCTTGGCAGCCGGCGGCGGCGTCGACGAGGACAGACGGCCGGACACACGGGAGCGGTGCTATGACGCCCCGATTGAGGTCCTGAAGTCTTTCCATCCGTGCGTTCGTTGCTTCGATGCCCTCATGGGTCATCTCCGGGGTGCGTCCGTAAACGTAGTGTGATGCATCTTGTGCTACAATTGCCATCGAGGTGTGCCGCTAGTCGTTGGGGCAGATCTTCTTTTGCGGGTGTTTGAACCTGTATATCTTCGGTTTGGCAGTCACTGGTTGTTCTTGAGCCGTTTTCACTCTTCGCGTACGCTGTCAACGACCGGCATTCACACAAACCGCCACCCGCTTCGCAAGGTACGAAATGTGAAATCTGCTTTAATACTCACTCGGTACTCAGGCATTCAGTCCAATACATTCGCTGTATGGTCCTCCTGGGGCACTGCAACAATAGCAAGCACGTTCTATCATGACAGGCAGTTATGTCTGAGACAATCCATCACAACAGTTACCTTCGGAACCTGCGAGCGGTTCCCTGCCACGACGTTGTCCAGGAAACCTACGCCAAGGGCAACCCGAACTCGTCCGCAATAGCGGTTGGTGGAAGGCTGATCTACGCGGTTATCGTGACTTACTGGCGGTTTTGGTGCTTCTGTTGTTCTTTCGTCAATCCCACCGAACCGAACCGAACGGCAGACGGCACGGGGGCAGAAGAGCTCAGGAGGAGAACTTCGAGCGGCTCCACCGTGGCGGCGGGAGATCCTCATGTCGCCTTCTTCGTCAGGTGAGTCCATGACTCCTGCTGCCGCCTGCCGCAATTATGTTATTGTCGTTGACGTTGCCGTCGCCGTGTTGGCGCTCCTCGTCGCCCCGCGCTCAAAGCGGGAAAGCCATGAAGAGGAGGGAACGAGTGAATCAGTGAATCAGTGAATCAGTCGAGGCCCACGCATGGAACTGGATGGAGGGCTGTAGCTTGCCCCCGAATGAGCGAATGAGTGAATGAATGAATCAGCCGAAGGCCATGCGGCCTGGTCCCTCTTTGTCCTCGCCCTTTTTTTCATTTTTTCATTTTATTTTCATTTATTTTCTCTTCTCCTTACGGTTTCCATTTTTATTTTTTCTCCTTTTTTTGTCTCTTTGTCCTTTTTTTTCTCTCTTTTTTTCTCTCTTTTTCTGTGCCAGATGGACTTGTCTCTGCTTGCGTTGTGAAGTACCAAGATTGAACCAACGGAGTGTGCCTCTTTCTCTCCGGCCCATGATAGATAGTGACTGCTAATCTCAGTTGATACCCCGCATAGCGTGAAGAGGGAGCGGAGGATCCCAGAATATCTGTCGTTGATTTCTATTGACTTGCGGACCCCTCGGGGCCAGTTTATTTGAGTGTACCTTTTTAGGGTAAGTTAACCTGTGACCACGGGAATCGACCGCGTCGAGTGTTGGATCAGTACGGACATACGAAGGTACTGGGTAGAGAGAGATCGGAACGGTTTTTAATGTGAAGACAACAACAACAACAACAACAACAACAACAACAACAACATGTGTGGATTGGATGGAGCGCTGTATATTGCCGCCCCAGTGAATGAGTGAATGGTTGAAGCAGCTGAAGGCCATGTGTCGACGGGATGGAGTGCTTGCAGTACCTTGCTCCCCCCATCGTGCCCATTGCCGTCGTCACCTGGAAGGTGGGAGACCATGGATAGGGGACTCGGGCGCTTCACCCCCAGGGGGTTCATGGGCAGTTTTACTCCGAGTCCGTTTCGACCAGCGCTGGCAGAGTACGCCGTCAAGGCAGCGACAGAAGACCCAAAGTTTTGGGGCCTAGGTTGGGCGCGGATTCCGGACACGAGGTGAACATGTCTCTGCCTTCTCCGGCCGTAAACACGTCCACCTTTTGAAGTGCGTGCATTTGTTTGACGGTCTTGGTTTCTACAAGGGGTGAGGACTGATTGCAGCAAGTCGTGAACTTGTGGCTTATGTCCGGACTGCAAGTGTTTACTTTCCGGGCCAACAACCACGACAGATGCAAAGGAACCCCAATGAATCCCTCCCTATGGTTACTCACATCTCGCAACGGCATTGATTGGTAGAACAGCTCTGCAGCAACAGTGTGATCAGCGCCAAGGTTCAAGGACTCGGGGCATCATGGTTGGCATGCCATCTGCATGACGGAACTTAATGTTGTGGAGCCTCCAGACGCAGCAGAACTCCGTCTATGGAGCCTGGGTCGATGCAAAGGCTGGATGCCCCTCTCCCGTCTACCACGCCCATTGATTGGCATCCCGAGCTGGAACAGTCCCAACTTCATTCGTTCATTGAAATCGAGTTGTCATTTTCATGTCCACACCGCTTTGTACCGTTTACTCAACCTTCTTCCGTGCTTCGATAATCTCGGTGAAATTCTACGCGCGGTGTTTCTTGGCGCCTCTTAAACTGGATGCAGGTGCAGGGTAATCGTCGTCAAGAGCCTCGAAGCGATGCAGGTAAAAGAGAAAAGTAGTGAAACCCGCCGCCTAGCTTCGGAAAGAAATAGGGAGGTAGCCAACGACTACGATTGGCGCTTTGCCAGTAGAAAAAACGTACCCATCCCCCTTCTCTATCCAATGTCGCCGTGCTATCGATGACAACGATCGGCAAACGAGAGAGAGAGAGAGAGAGCGGCAGAGATAGACAGACCGACGGGCAGACACGCGGACAGATCTTGCGCACGACTATAGGTGATTCATTTTCTTCGAGTTCCAGCCTTGCACCTCGTTGAACGAATCCTTCTTGCTTGCTACTAAGGACTGAACGCACAGCTACCTTGTCGTACGGCCCGTTCAGCACGAGAGGGACTGGCTTTCGAACCGACACGGGTTGATCCTGTCGTTCAAGGACGGTGCCGGACGACACTGCCAGGTGATAATTGCTACAGTACAGCTACTGTAGCAACACCAAGAGACCCACCACTCGCTGTAGTGGATTGTGATGGCGTTCCTTGACACCCTCCTCCCTCGCTGTCCCACACTCACACCCCTCCGCAAAATCCCGTGTTCTTTTGACGGACTGCTGCAGTCTACACTGTTTCCAGAGACCATCCGTAAGGCAGGCTGGAACAAGGAGCGAGCTATCGAGGCAATATACCAGAAGGCCGGCTACTGGAGAACTCGTAAGAAGCGGTCGGAGAATCCCAGCAAGCCTTTGGTGGCCACCCCTACCCCATCGGAGAGGAAAAGCCACATGTTCCCGACGCCTACCGTAGTTGTAGCTGATCCTGCCAGCGGTGACGACCCGGTTGTTTCGCGCACAGCTGTGATGCTACGGTTTGAAACGGTTTCCTTTCGCATGGGTTTCGGAAAGTATATCGCGAAGAAAAGGCTGAAAGGGGGGTAAACGAGCACCGCTTTTCACACAGCTTGCTTGCAATAGGTTGGTTATCCCTCAGCAGAGTGCGGAGTGACGCCAGGCGAGCATTAGTGTGTCTCAAGAAATTGGTCCCTTGTATTCAGTGTGCTGTTGCTCAACCAGGCGCGAAAGCGGGTCCCGGAAAACAACAGACGTAACGCTACAGACGCACCGGCCGGCCGTCAGCATGTTTGGTGCGAACTATAACCTCCTGATGGTGCTGTTGGTGGTTGACTTTCTAAAAAACCCATTTAGAACACGACGGAGAGAGCAGGTAAGTACCTGTTATCAATTGCTACTCTTCGCGGGCATGCCGTACTCAAATTGCGAGACATGCCTATTCGCCGAAAGTGTATCGGCGCTACGGGCTATGATAAAAGACGTCATTATTCCACTATAGATTGCCGTGTCCCCATGTGTGCTTCCCAAATGATTTTCATTTTACATCCAGTGTGGGACCAGCAACAGTGTGCACAAAGCAGTGTGAGACACAGAGTTGTGTAGGACACAGGAGGAGCACGCAGACAGCAGTGCCGAACTGATCAAATACGTCTTTACTCTGCTTAACCCTTTTGAGTCTTCAGGCGTTCTCACTGATCATTGATTGATCATTTGCAAATGCTGGTGTAGTGGCAAGTCGTGGAGTTGCCGCCCTGCAGCCCTTCGCGCCGTGTATTGGCAAGTCCATAGGTAGGTGTGTCTAGATTATTAGCACCCGCGCTAACCGGCTGACCAATGAAGAGACTTCAGTGACAGCGGGTAATGTCAAGGTCTCGGGAATGGGAATGGGGCCAATCAATGCCAAATCATGAATCTCTCAACGTATGCACATGTCAATGAACGCGTGTGTGCATACAGCAGTACATACATACATACATATGTGTTCTTTCGCAGCACCACACATACACTCGCCCGAACGTAGGAAGCCACTGCTGCAAAGAGCAGAGGACAGCAAAAGGGAGGGGTATTGCAGTCCCTGCCGAAGCCCAGATATATATCGAGGACATCGTGGTTCCCAACAATTTGAAAATCGTTCCGAAGATCCAGCAGTCATTGTGTCAACAGCTACAACGAACGCTACAACAACACTACTACTGCTGTAGACGAGTAAAACATATCAGCAACACATCCACACTCGTAGCGCCACACATACCACCCTCGCCCGAACCTAGGAAACCACGAGGTACAGGTGTGTGCTGGTGGATGTGCTTGTTGTTTGAAAAACACAGGAGCTCTAGAGAGTTGGCAGGGCACATTTCGGGGGGGGACAGAGAACAGAGAAGTACAGAAGTACAAATACCAGCTATGGGTCTTCACTGATCATTTTGCCCTCTCTGGACTGATCATTTACAATATACCGAAAATAGACTAGTTGAGGCAGCTAGACGACTGATCATTTCAAAGGCTACACAGCTAACCTGCCCTACTGACCGCAGCGCGACCACCCACCAACCCTTCTACGACCCTGTCTGTGGCCACCACCCTGTCGCCGGCTTCTCTCATGGCCTACAGGGGGAGATAGTTGTTGCGTGTGCAGAAGTACACTGGTGTCTTTCTCTGCACTTCTCTCTCTCCCGCTCGCTCTCGCTCTCATTTTTTTTTTTTTGGCGCAAAAAAAAAAATCTGACAGTCCAGCCTAGACCCAAAGGGGTTAAAAGTTTTTCAACAAAATTTTCGTGCTCTAGCAAGCGGCCACAGCATCACTCAACCTGGGACCGAGGAAATACTTGCCATGGGGGGCGAGCCGGCGTTACGGCATATGACTGCATGCCCGTACACCGACAGCAAAGGAAAGAGGGCAGCCCCTTCGGCAACCACGGCCCACCGATACGTGATGGCGGTACATCGACGCTCCAAACACGGCCCCCCACACATAAATAAATCCAAAATTTCTACACTGTTTGGCGACGAAACCAATTTATGGTGAGCAAACGACCAACAAAAGTCTTCTATCCCAACTGCAAGGGACACAGACCGTTCGGTTGCTATGCCCTTGCTATGTACACGGGGGTCTCAGCAGCGAAAATCGGGGACGCATACGGAAGACGTCCAGATCAAACGTGCCTACCTCACGGCAACCCCAAGCATCCGCTTCTGTTTCATGTACGGCTGGGGCGCTCTGCAGTGACAGAAATTCAACCTGAGACATGATCGCCGCGGATACGCACCAACCGCTTACCATCAACTGCGGTCATGCCGAACACGATAAAGACAACACGCAAGACACGATTAAAACACACACCATGATCAAGGTAGTGAGCAAAACTCGAGTGAGACAAGAAGCACACACTATCAAGACAATAACCGAGACACGGGTAAGACAACGACCATTCATAATCGAGACCGTAAGCACACGGCGACAAGGCAAGGAAGCAAAACACGATTGAAGAGACCGAAACAAAAGAAGGGGCGTTGTTGCACATGCGCACTCAACTACAGTACATAGCAAATCCTGATAAAATACAGTACCAAATCCTGATAACACCACAGCCTGTAACCGAACACCCTTCCCGTAGCTACACAGAGAGCGCTCGAGGTGCCTCTAGGAGGATGTATGTCTAATGGCAAAACACCCAACGACGCGTACATAGACGACCCCCCCCCCCCCCGCTCCCGTCCGCCGCGCCCCCCTCTAAGGCTTCCCCTCGAAAAACGGAAGCATAATCGCGTCGGTGTCGTTATCACCATCCTGCCCGAAGCCGTTCAAGACGTCCTCCCCCAGAAGCTCGTCGAACGCATCAAGGAGGCCAGCGTCATCCGTGCCGTCGAGCTCCGAGGCAACCAACAGCTCGAGCCCAGCGATCACTTCTTCTCCTCGACCGGCAGCACCAGCACCCGCTCCAGCACCACCGGCAGCCGCAGCAACGTTACCTTGGGCCAGTTGCAATGGGACACACCCCTTCCTCTGTACATGCTCCTCTTTCACGCGATTCGCCGGCGCCCCCGGTGACGTCACCTCTCCCCCAAACACCGCGGCCGCCACCATTGGTGGTTGTTCCGCTGCTGGCGCTGGTGCTGGTGCTGCTACGCCGCCAGTACCGACTTCGACGGGTCCGGTGATGCCGCTGCTGCTGCTGCTGCCGCTGCCGCTGTAGCTGGCGTCAATCGACACCGCAGATGATGTCGCTCCCGGCCCACAGCAGGGCGAGCAAGACCTAGCCCCGAGATTCCCGCCCGCTTGTTGCCGTTGTGTCTCAATATCACCACCAAACGCTCCCACAAACCCCGTCGCGGCCGCCGCCGGCGCCGCCACCCTGGGCTCTTCAACAGGGGGTTCCGCAGCAGGGAAACTGGGTATACCCCCCTGCCGCTCGCTGTGCAAGACACCACGGGCCCAAGGTTCGTCCGAGATAGAAGACACGGGCATCGGTGAACGGCTTACGTGGGGGGGGGGCGGCTTCGACTCGTCCCCGATTGAGGAGGTGAAGGCTGTGTCCACGGACTCCGCCAGGGTATCCTTTTCTCGCTGTGGGAGCACGATGGTCATGAAGAAACAGTACAGAGACCTGCAGGGTTGACGGGAGGGGAGGGGGGGGGGGGGGACAACGACCAAACATTTTCGGCGGAGAATCAGCGCAAGAGCGCAAACAAAAGATATTTCTTATGCTGGATTGTTATGAACTCGACTCTGCCATCCTTGTTCCTGCACTTGTGTAGTTGTTTGCAATGTACAGCCGACGAGAACGCTGCTCTCAAGCCTCGCGCATGTAACGCCAGCAGGCCGTGCAGATGCATATGTAGTTCCGAGCTAAGCGCAGCCGACCAGTCCGATGCAACCGTCCTACGCATGGAACGGGTGGACCGCGGGTCCACGCCACACTTGGCCCGCAGAACAAGTTTCTTACAAGTCTCTCGCTCGCCAAAAAAAAAACTACTCAGCTGCGAACCAACGTCCGGACGTAGGCGCTCGCTGAAAACGGTTTCCATATAGCCACTCGCACGCAGAAACGTTTTCCATTAGCCACCACCTCTCTCTTTCCATGAGCCAGTTACCTACCTGCAGAACACGTGCTTGCAGATGCACTCCATGCCTGTCCACTCCTCCGCAGGCGGGACCCTTACGGCGCTAGGTTCGTCCATCACGGAGTTGTACGCTTGCCGCAGGCTCTCGTACTTTTCGTGGCGGCCGGACAGCAGCAGGCACGCGAGGGTGCAGTGGGCCAAGTGCGTCCTGGGGATCGACGAGCCGGAGAGGAAAGGAGGAGAAGCAAGGAGGTAAGATACACAGAAAAGAAGAGAGTCGAGCCTGTGCATATGAAGGGGAGGTATGTATGTATCATTGCTGTATGTTGCCCTGACATTGACAGAAACGTACGTCGGTCATACGACACCCATGAACTGATATGAGAAGAAAGACCGCAGGGATCCTTGTACTTTTAACAGCGTGCACCGTCGTAGTGACGGCCGTACCGTAGATGATGCAATGCAGACGGGGGCAGGGGGGGGGGCTGCATGCCTTAGCGGTTAGGCCATTGACCACGCGTCCACGAGAGGACGGAGCTTTGTGGGGGGAGGGGGGGATGGGCCATGATATGACCACCAGAGTTGGAGCTGAGCTCAGGCAGAAGGGTGGATTTTTTATGGGTACGATCCTTGCCATGGAAAATGTTAGGGTAGCGCGGTGTACGTAATATACCACCCTCCCTTGGAGCGGATTTCAAAGCTCGACTACCGCACGGCAGCAGAGGTGGCGGTGCCGACAGCAGAAGTGGCGGTGTCGACAACGGCAGCAGAAGTGGCGGTGCCGACAACGTCTTTCCGAAAACGTGTCGTTTGACCCACACTTCCTGCTCAGCGTGGAGTAACGGGCCTTTTAAGGTCGGTCAGTCAGGGGGTGTGGTATCTTACGACATGTGACCGACGGCAGACGGCGGGCGGCGCGTATTGCCCTCCGGCAGCGTCAAGCCCACCCGGTATCCAAACGAAGGGCAAGAATCGAGCTCTAATTTTCTGAGTTTGTCCTAAGACGAAAAAAAGCCTCTGGATGTCCTGGCTTTGAATGAAGAGTTATCGAAAATCAGTGTATTTTTTCTCACCTTCAGGAAAACAACACCCAACAGTCAAAACACTTTTTTCTCGGCCAAAAGAGTAGATCGATTTTTGGAACATCATCAACACACGACCAAAGAAGCCCTTCGATTTTGCGTCTGGAAGTTAAGCAGGGGTTGCGCGGCCGCCAGGTTTTCTTTCCTGTTGTTTTGGCAGACGCAAGCTCTCCGAACCACTGCTGCAGACGCTCCTAATCACTAGCCCGCATCTCCCGCCCCTCCTATCCTCCTCTACTCTCCGAGTATTCCACTCACCACGCAGTCAGGCGGCAAATCCCGGGGCTAGTCAAGAAGATGTCCGCGCAGCGCCACAGGCCATCCATAGCCCACGATTGCCGCCCCTGCAGCACGTTGGCGTAGGCCATGATGCTGTGGAAGTAGAGCTCGCCAACGCCTCCCTTCACCTCGGGCCTGTTCTCCCCGGGAGACACGATGCGTCACGGAGGCGTATTTGGTCGAAAGTTGGGTCGAATTTTGTGTTAAGTTAATCTTACAGAAGTAGATGGGGCGCTATCGGGTTGAAAACGAGCCTTGGGGCACTCGGGAGTGAGAGATGTCGTAGGTTCTAAGCGCACGGAAGGGAGAAGGAGAAAAAAACTCAAGTGTTGCCCTAAAAAACTTGCGAAGAGAGCGGCACTTGGGCAAAAAATGCAGTCCGAGCACGAAAAAACAAAGAAACAATAAAAAATATTTATGCCTCCTCGAAACTCTTGGCTAAGCGCTTGCATTGACCTAGCTAGCGTTGACTCCAACGCAACAAAGCAACAACCCAAGAAAATACGTCTCTCATCCCTCAAAGTCATGGGGGGCAACAAGACAAGGACATCGTTTGGTATCGTGGGGCGAATAGGCTATTGTGAGCGCCCATACAAACAGCCCTGTTGGCGTGTGAAGACTGCAAAAAAAAACAGTCGTACTCACGTCTGTGTGGCATGAACCATCAGGTCGCACTCCGGCAGCAACTCCGCCGCGAACTTGAGGCTCATCTCTCCCGGCGGAGGGGGCTCCGTGGACTGATCGAAGCTTCTGAGGCTGAAGCAGGTAGGGGTATTAGCGGCGCCCGCGCCCGTCACGGGCGAAGACCCTCCCTTCCCCTCATCGTAAACCACGTGCGGCTGCGCGGACAGACCCGGGTTGCGTGTCGCGCCGACATCTTGGGGTCCTCCTCCGTCTTCGCCCGGAGGAGACCCGTCCCCTTCCCAACGGGCGTACCTTCCGACGTCGCTGCTGTCTTCGTTGAACGCCCCCTTGTCCAGCATGTCCACCGAGAAGCAAGCGGTGAGGCGGATGTCCGCCTTGAGCAGCCAGCGGCACAAGTCCTTCTGATGGATGAGCCTCGGCTCCTGCCCATGTTGAGTTAGGGTTAGGGTTAGGGTTAGGGTTAGGGTTAGGGTTAGGGTTAGCCCAACATAGCGTCGACCCGCACGGAACCCGAACAAGGGTTGAGGCATGATAACAATAGCGCAACTGCTGTAACAAGAAGAAAAATTCGCCAGTGCTGTACTGTAAACTGTAGCGGGAAGTGCCCATAATGTTGACCTCCCTCAAAGCGGGAGGTGGCCAGAATGTTGGTGGCTTAAAGCGTGAAGTGTTCCTAACGTTGTTATCCTCAGAGCAGGAAGTGTAGCTAATGTTGGTGTATTAAGAAAAGCGTGGAGGAATGCCCTTAACGATGGTGTATTTACAGCGGGAGGTGCCCTTTTACCGTAGATGACATGACGCAAGACACCACACACCCCCGACCGATTCTCAGAGCTCATCTACTGTAAACAGCAACAGCGGCGGTGCAGACAGTGGCAGCGTTGGAACCCGTCACGTCGAGAGCTTTCCGAAAACGTGTCGCATCATTGCAAGTTGGCATCCTCTTTATCGTGGAGTGATCGAGCTTTGATAATCGGTGGAAGGCGTGTGGTATCTTGTGTCACCTACGGTATGTTGGCTTCCAAAAGGAATAGGGATAAGGCGACTGCAGTGCCTTCTGTGGTCGGTTGCCCAGGCAAAGATTGCCGTTTTTGCAATACGCAACGGCAGGTGGTCCCTTTGCAAGACCGGTCGCCCTGAAAAAAGGCCAGCGAAATCACGTGACACACAGAGAGACGGAACATCAACGTGTCTCATACTCTTCACTAGTGCCCGGTGTGCGGTACTAAGGCCAGCCATATCCCTTGGCACTACTCGGCCTTACACGGGGACCACTCTAATACTTGGGGTTGTTGCTGTGCCTCGGACGTTGTGCAGGATTCGAGAGTCCGGTTGCCACAAATACTGCTCTGCCTCGGGCAAATCGCGCAGGTTTCGAGAGTCCCGTCACTACTTCTACTGCTGTACCTTGGACGTCATGCAGGATTCGAGAGTCCCGTTGTTACAACTACTGCTGTGCCTCGGACATCGTGCAGGATTCGAGTCCGCCTGCCATTAATACTGCTCTGCCATGGGCAAATCGCGCAGGTTTCGAGAGTCCCGTCACTACTACTACTGCTGCACCGTGGACATCTTGCAGGATCCGAGAGTCCCGTCACCTCTACTGCTGCTGCACCGTGGACATCTTGCAGGATTCGAGAGTCCCGTCACTACTACAGCACTACTGCTGTACCTTAGCCATCGCGCAGGATTCGAGGGTCCCACTGGCAGCCTTGATATACTCCTCGTCGACCTGGTGGCTGTACCCCTCCAGCATGTCGCAGGCCTTGACGAACAGGTGCGTATCCAGGAGGTCCGCCGGGACCTTTTCCGGGGGCAGAGCGTTGATGATCGACTTGGCGAAGTCGATGTACTTGATGAACTTGTCCTGCGGGCGGAGGGCAGGTTGCGTTTCGTGCCACACCGCCGTGTCGCCACCAGCGTGTAAACAAAAAGAAAAAAAAATCGGGACGGTGTTGGCGAACGGGGGTCCCGTAGGGTGTATAAGGTACACACACAAACCCTGGATCGATACATTGTAAAGCTGGAACAACCCAAGACCACGAAGCGAGAGTGAAAAACTCGAATGACCGGAAAGCTTTTTCTCGACGAGATGGTTCTCCTGCCGCCGTCACTTTCGGCAAAGCAGTCACTGCTGTTAGAGTAGTGCTGCAGGTAACCCGGGGTTCGAACATAGGCGTACGGAATCTCATCGAGCCACGGCCAGTAATACGCTCTTAGCGCCGCTTCACTAGGGCACAACGGCAAACGCGGGAAAGCTAGCCGATCCCAGAAGAAGTGGACGGACACGCGAGACCACGGCCACGGCTTGCTCCAATCACCGAAGACCTCGAGGGGACAAAAGAAAAGGCGCCACACAAAAAAAAAACGCCTTCCTGTTGCCTGTGCGACCGCACCTCGTTGCCCATGAAGTCTTGAAAGAGCGCCATCGCCGTGAATGCCCTGTGAGGGTCGGGAGAGGCACAGGAGAAGGCGAATCAACGAATTCGTTGCGAAAACAAGCACAAACAACAAGGATCGGGAGGCGTGTATGGATTTGAGTGCGTTGAGTCAATAGGGCAACCAGCAACGAGAGCGGGAGATACACAAACACAGCGACGAGAGCGGGAGATGCACAAACACAGCAACGAGAGCGGGAGATACACAAACACAGCAACGAGAGCGGGAGATGCACAAACACAGGAACGAGAGCGGGAGATACACAAACACAGCAACGAGAGCGGGAGATACACGTTGACACGGCACCCACAACAAGGATCAGGAGAGTTGCAGGAGAAGGCGGCGACTACGTCATGTACACACACCACCCCAACAGGATGAGGAGGGGTGCACGAGACTGCGCTGCCAAAACACGCCGCCAGCACCATGGATAAGGAGAGAGTACGCCACAATCATGACGCCATCGCCTCACCTAGCCGTCTCCGCGGTACCATCGTCGAAGCAGACTGACAGCGCCTCCCGAGCAAGGTGGACGTATCCCTCCACCTGCAAGCAGGGGGGGGGGCCGAAGAATGGTACAGTTAAGGGAGGGGTTCAAGGAGTGCCCCCAAGGGCGGACGACTATTCCCCTCCCGTGGCATGTTTTTCTTGCCCTCTTCGGAGCCTGTTCTTTTTTCATTGCAGGACCTCAAATCGGGGAGCCCTCTCATGACCAAGGTGCCTTTTAAGCAAACAAAAGGAGCGGCGGTCTGGAAGCAGTTGCGTTTTCCTCTTCTTCGATGCGAAAGGGGGGGATTCCACCCATGACGAGATGGTACTTCGGCAGCAAAGAAATGTCACTGCTGTCACTGCGAAGACCAGTAAATTCTCGCGTCTATCGGTTGCCCAACGGTCCTACATCTCCGTAGACATAAACACCAAACAACGTCCGAGCACACGCCTCACACAAACACTGACCCCCGTCCACTGCACGCCTTGACACCCACCCACCCACCCCGTCCTTCCAGACAACCCTGCCGCCAACAAGCTCACCGAGGACTTGGGCCGCCCTCGAATCAAGCACCCCACCCCGACAGTACTCCACAGCACGCACGCCGCCGCCGCGTTCTCGACGGCACTCTCTGCCCGTACCAGGCCGCCACCACCACCACCACCTGGCACCAGTGCGCTTTCTCCCCACCCGTGGCCGCCGCCAACAACGCCTCCTGCTTCAGGCCCTGGGAACTCCGGGTCGCGCTCCTGCATGGTGCGGAACATGGTGCTCACCATGGCCTTACGGATGAAGCTGTGCGGAAGGGGAGACGGAGAATGGGGGGGGGGGGGGGGGGGGCTCAATTGTTTTACACATGAATCGCTACATGGGTCCGCTTCGGAGGATGCGCCTCGAAAGCCACGCCGTAAGGATGACCCTCGACACAGGCATGGTTGGGGTCGACTCGACGAGACACCTGCACGTCCAACGCCACCCACGGTAGTGGCCGGGTCTCGTAAGTAGTGGCGATGGGGTTCGGCAGAGGAATTCTATACCGGACACCCATTTGGCCCTCCCTACTCAAGAGTGTAGCATGACACGACTTGGGCATGCCACGTGTGTTACGCGATTTACACCGGCCTTGCACACGGCGACCGGCCTACAGCAGTATCTTACACAGGGACCAACCACCGTTATACCGTAGGTTACGTAAGATATATTGTTTTACCCCGTGGACCCATCTTCAACGCTCGATTACTCGGTAGAAAGAGCAGTAGCGGTGCCAAAAATGGAGGCGTTGGAATCGTCTCGTCGAGAGCTTTCCGACACGCTTAAGTATTTGAATTTCGCATACTCTTCATCGTGGATGAATTGCGCTTTGAAAATCGGTCCAGGGGTGTGTGGAATCTTACGTCATGTAGCCTACGGTACAGGGACCACCTACTGCACCTACTACGGAAACGGGACACGCCTGACCGTCAACCGGTCCTCTTCGTCCCCTGACGCTGACCGTTTCGTATTCTACAGCTGATTTCTCATCTCCAACTCTTCCGGTTTCTCTTGTCATCGCGGCAACTCTACACTATTACTACAGGGGGAAAAAAATGAAAGGATGGAAAGAAAACAAATCGCGAGATCACACGCACCTCTCGCTTGTGATGGGCAAGAAGCCCATGGTCTGGAAGAAGTCGCCGATGTACGCGTTCTCCTTCAACCCGATCAGTCCCGTAGCCGGCGAGGGGCTGAGGCGAGCCCTGCCGTTGCATCCAAGCACAAAAAAAAACACGGCACGCCACCATTCGGCATACATGCACACCGTCCAACCATCAGACACCGTCGACATGGTAAACCGTGCAGGCTGTGCCAAGGAGAACCGTTTGGTCTTCTTTATCGGCATCAAGACTTCAATACACAGTCGTTTTTTTTGCCCCCTCACTGACACAAACCCCCCTTCGGCTGCGGTGGCCTTGCCTCGAACGGGGAGTCTTTTCTGTGACTGCATATTTCCTCAAAAAAAAAAAGTCCAGTATCTAGCAGAGGGGCTCCTCCGCCCTCACTGCTACAAAGACGGCAACGCATCCCTCTTGAATGGGTTGTTATCTCGAACGAACATCTGCTCATTCTTTGATGTTACGGAGTTGGAAAGTGTTTTCTTATTTCTGATGAAAGGTCCGATCCTATCATCCTTATCATCGTCCGCGTCCACATTTTCCAGGAACTGGTTCGCCACTTTCTCGCCTGCTCTTCTCCTCGAGAAAACAGCCCGTGTGTCGAGGATGGCCCAAAATAGTCACAATCACCCCGGGCGCAAAAAAAGAACAGCACAGCTATGACCCAAAGAGCAAACAAACAGCAGCACTTCCCCCGAAAAACCGGCTGATGGCACCTGCGCCCAAGTGAATCCCAAATCTGACTCAAGAACAAAGCGAGTTAGGCATACAGAAGCCGAAATCAAACCATTAGACTAGTCAGCGCTGACTAGTCTCATGGTTTGATTTCGGCTTCTACAGGCAGTAGCAACAAACCCGACACACGCATTTGTCCGAGCTCTCACCGCTTTAGAGGTATCATGGCCGTGGACACCATCCCGCCGCCGGCGTGCCCCCCCCACCCCTCCGATACCGGTGTCCTGGCCGCGGTGCCCCCCATTCCGCCCGGAAAACCCGCACCGTATCCGTTTCCGTTGTAGCCGCTGCCGGTGCATTCTTCGCTGCGTGCTGGTTTGGACGAACGACCGCTGTTGGTGCTGACTGCCGCTGGTCGCGGTCCCGTCAAGAGCCTCAGGCTGTAGTGGCACTCCGGCTGATTCTTGGCGATACAGAAGCTGTTTTCGATAAAAAAATAACAACAGTATAGCGCAGGGGGGAGGGGGGGAGGGGGATGGATGCGAGGCCAGGGGGTTGGTATGTGGTTCGCTAAATAGGGCGTTACAGACGTGAAAACAAGTCGCCAGAGGAGCAAAGACTACCTGTAACTACCTGTACCTCGAAGAACACGGGAGGTGTGTGTGCAGAGTGCACAAGCGTGAGTGTAGTGCACAGCAGTCTACGGGAGCAGGAGAGACGTGTCGGCTTTCTCGAGTGTCGCAGTCAGTGCGCGATAAAAAAGCGATGTGGTCGAGCGCCTCCTTCAGAAGTCCCCGTCGCCGCGCGTGGTACGTGCTGCACACACGCCCCCGTCACAAAAAAAAAACGGGGCAACGCGGAACGCGCACCATATATGTAGCTCGCATAAGGTACCACAACCCCTCGACCGATTGGTACAGCGCGACTAATTACTCCACGACCAACATGAACGCCAAAATCGAACACTTTGGATTGCCCCAGACCAAGTGGTTCTAAAGACACCGTTTTCGGTACCATCGCCGCTCTATTGCTGCAGCGCATCGGGCTTTGAAAACCGGCCCACGGGGCGTGATATCTTACGCAATGCAACCTACGGTACCAGCTACTGCCGTTGCCACTCATGACCGAGCTTCCAAGCGTAAGCACTTCCAACCGCTGTCATTGCCGGGGGCGATGATTCTCGCAAAGCGCGCGAGAGAGACAGAGAGAGTCGTCGGAAAGCAAAATAGGCAATGCATCGCATGTCTCGTGGGCACTTCACAAAGCAGATCACATGGCATCACAACAGGACGGGGTGTACAGTGTGTTGAGGGGAACGAGGGTTACACATGGGAGTGAGTGCAGCGGTGTTGCTTACATCGCTGGCAACAAGAAACGCACATACACCCACACGCCCACCACCACGTCATGCCCTTTTTACTCCAGCCTCTTTTCCCACCACGTGGAAGAAGCAGAGAGGGAAATAGACATTCGCCCCAAGCTCTCACCGTGCAAACGACAAAAGCACCAAAGTAGACCTACCTACCCTTGTCAGCTAGAATCTAGCAGCACACCCAACACCCATATTTCACTCATTCTCAACAGGGGACACTGCACGCAAACACGGCCTAAATACGCCGCGCATGCGGCCTATTCCAATACGAAGTGTACCTCAAGCCCTCATCTCCTACCCCTCCAACGTCGACGCACAGCAATCAGATCGCCACCACAAGCTCCCTTATTACGCCTGATACCCACACAGGGGGGGGGGGCGCCGTATGCTGCACAGGGATCAGTAGAAACACACACGGCCTGTATGTAACACCGTGTGTGAAGCCCATCGCGAGACTACCGTAAGGACGCGAGAGATTGCGTGCCCCCCCCCCAGACCGACTTTCAAAGTCCGATTGCTCCACAGACAAATGGGTTCGGACGAGAGCCCGATACGTCATCGGAAAGCGCTTCGCGAGACGTTTCTAAAACCACCAATCTTGGTGTTTGCGCCAAGCTTGCTTGTGGAGCAATCGAGCTTTGATTATCGGTCGATGGGGCAGGGGCGCAATCTTTCGCATCCTTTCGGTGCCTTTGCACGAACGAGGTGCGTAGACGCAAGATCAAATTCGACTACATTTAATTTTCAAAAATACAACGGAAGTAACAAGTTGCACCATGGTGTTCTTCCGACCACTCGCAACGCGTGCACGTGATGTGGTCATCGTTGGTCAGAGGAGGCTTTTGAGCGTCGAAGGGGAATCAATCGCGATCCAACTCTGATAGGGGGGAGGTGAGAGAGAGACACCGAGCGCCCCAAGGCTGCATGCACATGCGCTGTGCGCTGCCAGCCAATCACGTGTCAACACACAAGCCTCTTGAAAATGAAGTACTTATATGACTTGCGTGCTGCCTCCAAAGCGCGAACCCTTGGAAGGTGCTATGCATACTATATACTTGGAAATGGTCAAGTAGTCTCCCTTGCGACACCGGTGTGAAGGCATCTGTTCCGTTCGTTGCCACGCTTTCGTATGCGACAACGTGACAACACAAGCAAGCCTGGTCACGATACGCCTGTGTGAAACGGAACGAAACGAGTCTAAAATAGATACAAGCTACACAATTTTCTCTAGGCCACAGCACCTCTTTTGTGATGTACTTCTTCAAACTCTGGCACACGAGAACCTGAGCTGTCCGTCTCCTGATACTTCGTCGTACAACATGTCTCGGGCCTGCCTACGCTTGCTTCGACGCATAGCGACAAGTATCTCGAAAATAGGGTGCCGTGGATGATCCGCCATGGGGAAGAGACAGCAGTCACAGGACTGTTCCACAGAAAGGTCCAGGTCACACATGCTTTTAGGCAAGTAGATCTTGTGATCACACACACACAAGATATGGTAGGCAGCCAACGGTCCCTCACGAGAGCCTCTATCCACCGCGCTCGATAGGGGCACTCATGTTGTTCCCCGCACAGAACCCGCGGCTCTTCCGACGGCACACTTGTGGTCCACGCAACTTCACTTTCCTTGACAGCACAAACCTGGCAAAAGTATTCGTTCAAATCAAGACGATGCCGCCGCCCTTCACCTGCAGCGGTCAGCCCCATACCGAGTCTGCACCAGGGAAGGATCACCGTCGCACTTCCGTTTCCGCCGAGTGCAGAAGTCGCACGACCCCCGAAGACGTTTGGTGAACTTTCTGGCATGATGGCTGTGTGCCTCATCATCATCATGCGGGGTCTTGGCGTGCGGGGGCGGTCGAGTTTCCCCGCCGGCGGCGGGGATATTTTGCGCGCACGCAAGCATTTCTTTTCCCGCTTCCTCGCCAACGCCCACCTCTTCGCCGATACCCGGAGCTGTTGGTGGGCGAGGTCGTCGCACTCTAACGCAGGATCTCTCTGTCTGTCTGTCTGTCTGTCTGTCTCTGCACTTTACTGATGATGCATCACAACAACACAACATTCATCACAAATTTTTCAGTATATTTGTGCTTGCCAAGGGGCTTCGTGAAAGGATAAACCGTTATATACAGGTACCCATGTTATCTTCGCATTGTGTGCGTCTCCCCCGTGCTGGAGGTGAAGTGCACAGGGCAGAGGGAGAACAGCAGCGACTGAGGCAGGGGCAACAGCACAGACGAACCCCTCTCCCCTAGCTCGCTCATCTCCGAAGCCTCGGGGGGAAGAGGTGAAGGCGAACCATGGACTTGCAAGGCGGGCCGACGTTTGAGGACCTGTCCATTGACGATGAGCTCACGCAACTGCAGAGGCTGGTAAGGTACAGCAGCAGCTCCATCGCGCTGCAGCGGCTTGTTCACGTCAAGGTGAGCAAGAGCCAGACAAAAGTTTTGCGTCTCCCGGCACCCTGCTGCTTGTTAGGAGCGAGGGAGGCGGGGCTTGCTTACCTCTAGGCGGCCTGGAATCCATCAGTCCAGCAGAATTTCTGTCCGGAACAAAACCAACATGGAGTTTTGAGTTGAATTGTGCAGGTGTTGTCGTACCGCGTCTTTTCGTCTTTTCGCCCTATAATAGACATCACATCAGCCTCCAAAAAGAGGAAATCATCATCACGGACACCGGCTTGTGTCCGGACCTACATACCTGCTGCTCACCTCCGAGCATGCTGTGACAGTGGGTCGCTCCGCGATTACCTCGTGTGGGAGATGCACCCAGATTTTCTTGAGGTTTGGGCAGTAAGTGGAACACGCCGCTCAAGGCAGCTGCACCAGCAGCAGCAGCAGCAGCAGCAGCAGCAGCACACCAGCAGCATCGAACAAATGTCCAACACACTCTCTACAAAGGTCTGTCCTTGCTGCAGACCGTTAGAATCTGGTCTCAGCAGAACCGCCGTGGCAAAGTTTCGCGCCGCGCTTTCCTTCTGCAGCTTGGTCTACGCCTGCCCCCGACCGCGTTATGGGAGGGATTTATCTCGCTGCGTACACATGATGGAAATCCTCACCATGCTCTGCTGTAGCGACGGATTTTGTCTTCGCCGCCAGAACCGATGGACAGCAGTAGCAGTACGGCAATGTCTTGCTCTATACCAGAACCCACGCAATCTCTGCTGTTGGTACAACGGTATGCACAGCATTCAGGTATTGTAGCCCGCATCACAGCGATGTGCTATTATGTCCACCCGAAGGGCAGGCGGCTTTGTTTATGCCCCCAAAACGAACGCAAACGGAGGTACCTCGTATGTATGCATAGGTGACGACGAACGCGTCGAGCGGGACAGAATCTTATAGCCACGTTTTGGGCCGTAAACGAGGCACACAATCAGAAGCTGAGGCGTGCTTCAGCACCGAGTGTTCAATGGGTAGCAACGAGCCCCTGCTGTGTTTAGGGTAGCGTTGTTGGCGTCAAGCTCGGCAATTAATGACGCCGGCTAGGGGGCACCGCAGATTTTGTAGTAGGACCCGCACCCAGGCCAGCCTGGGTGTTTCTTTGGTTCATGTCCTGCGTCCGCGGCAGTGTTCCCTCCCCCACCTGTGGAGCCTTCGTCGCTTCAGCGCGAACCAGTGAACAAAGCCACGTTCATGATAACGTACAAGTATTCGTCTCCGATGTGGTATGTATCTAGCTGGTGTGTTTTGGTGACAACGTTAACGTTAACGAAGGCCTGCCCGCTCGAAACAAACCGGGCCGGTTGGTTGAGGAGGGCCACGGCAGGCGGACCGCGGTTTGCAGTGGGCAAGGGTACCGGAGGATCCTGCTTTGCCCTCACGACGGTATTCAGGACCGGTGTGATGGGGTGGATGGGTTGTCGGTGATCTTTCGTTCACTTGTGTACGAAGCGCACACGCTGTACCTCGGTGCGGGTAATAGTAGCCTGGGAATGGTGCCAACGTATTATTACCTCTTGCCGAGCGCGACTTTATTAGCTAGTTAGCTTCTTAGGACAGGACAAGACCTTCTGGATTTCGTCCCTTAATCACCAATCACCGCAGAGTAGGGGGGGGGGGGAGAGACGTATCTCCCGTGTGCCAGATTCCCGAAGTCTACCCTGTGTCTAAAGGACACAAGAGCTAGTAGGCTGGTGCTAAAGACGTGTACTTGAGTATTATGTTGCTTCGCTGTTTCCGAGGAAATGGGTAGAGCGGCAGCAGCAATTGTGGCGACATATGCGGCCTTTGCTGCCTCGTGAACGATGCGCCTTCCTTTCGTCGGAGCCCTCAATCACGGACAAGGGTTTCGATATTGGTAGCATGTCTATTCCAAGGACCTTTTGTTGCACTCCTTTTTCCGTCAAGACTATGCGTACTTCGTGTGAAAAGAGGGTCATTGACGTCGGGGAGAGGTTGTAGCTATGATAAAGGGGGTCTCCACAATAGTTTTCGAAGGTCGAGGTGGAAAGCGAACGGACGGCAGTTGGGGAGAGGTTGTAGCCTTGATAAAGGGGATCTCCGCAATAGTTTTCGGAGGCCAGGTTGGAAAGCGAACGGACGTCAGTACCCTGCGTGTTGATGTTCATCATTTCAAGAACACAACAAAGTGATTGCCTTCCACATAACCAAGAGTCCGGGATAAACCATTTGGCGATTAATTCATCCATAGCGTTAGCGGACACTAATTGTTTGCTTGGTTTTTAAAAAGTGAAACACTTCAACCCCCGAATTCCCTCGAAGCGACAAATTACCTTTGATGCCGCGAAATTGCCGGCGTTTTAGTAATATGGGTCTGGATTGCGAGCATTTTTGGAAGATGCGCCTGGAAGCAGGGTTTTTTATCTTCGGAACAATTACCTCCACCCCCCATCCCGACAACATGTACTGGCCTGCAAGGTTGGTTGAAAGAAGCGGATCATCTTGGGTTTGTGGAGCCGGACTGAATCGTACAAACAACCGTGGCACGTTAAGAAAGAAATTGCTAGGAAGTTTCGGCGGGCCAACCGGAGAAGCAAAGGGGCTGTGACGTAGCGAGGCTACTCCCATGCGGCGTTGATTATGCTGTAGACTAGGCAGGAGGCGATATGGGGTTTTGAGGGAGCAGCGGGCCTCCGCTTGTTGAGCAGAACACCCAGCAACAGTACCAGTACAGTCGTGACTTCGTTATGAGAGAGGGATCCGATGTATAAGAGGGTCGAGGGCCTTTGTCACACCACCCTCTCAAAACCGAGCCACGAGTACTGTTGTGTACCTTCGCGCAGGGGACTTTAGGAACAGCTGTTATCCTGTAGTTGACCGTTGACCTTGCGGTTGTCCGGAGGGGGTTCCGCTACAGCAGGCACGGGGTGTTCTCAAGGGGGGGGGCTTCAGCTCAGCGTGGGAGATTGCGTTGCACGGAAGCAGTAGGCTTCCACGATTGTGAAATCGACGGACCCACCAATAGTCTGTCATGTCAGCACCCGAAATTACGATTCTCGTCCGGAGTCGAAGCTTGAGTTTCCGGTACATGGAGGATGACCGTGTATAATTCTATACCGTCAGCGAGGTGGCCTGTCGACCATACCGGGTTCTGGGTCAGACAACCTTTTTTGCTCGTCCACTCGTTTTTTTCTGCCCCCCCCCCCCTCTAATGTTTTCTTTTGGTGTGCTCCCGCATCATTATTTTTATATTGTATCGTCTTTCACGCAGACCCCACACTCTCCCTTGCCTCTTCGCTTGTTCGTCTCCTCCCCCCCCCCTGTCGCTGCAGATGCTAGCGGAGACCGTTACAGCGGTCGGTTTCGAACAAACGGTCAAGTCGGTGGTGCCTTTGCTGGGGCCACTCGCCGAGGTGTGCGTGTGTGTGTTTTTTTTCTTTTTCGCTATTTGAATGCAAGTGAACACAGAAGAATGAACGTGCTACTTTCCACGACGCTGCGGTCCATGTCTATTGCCGTGCTACCGCCATTTGCGAGGCTTGTCGCCTGAATTGTGTGCCGTGCGTAGTAAGATGAGGGCTGTCGAGAGTGTACTGTGCACCAGCACGTTGCCAAACTGCCACCCACAGCCCCCGAACAATAAAATACCGGATGAATATGTTCTCAAGGTCAACACGAGGCCAGACTACTCTCGGATCAAGTGACAGGGCGACGTAGGATACCACCCCCCCCCTCCCACCACCACCACCACGGGCAAAAACTGACCGCCTTCGAGCGATTAATAAGTTATTGAGGAAAAAGAACAGGGAGGGGGGACGCAGACCGTATTCCCTGACCCTAACCCTAACGCAACTTCCCCGATGGTATGCTTTATCCAACATGTTTACATAATACATTCGAATAACCCTGAGAGGGCTAGACTACAGGTAAAAACACAGCGGGTGATAGTTTTTGTAGAAGACAACATGTAGGGCATCACCGTGGGTTTATTCTTGCTTGTTAATAATGTCGTGTTCGGTGCAGCAGTGCGGGCCCGCAGTATCGGGAAAAACTCGTTACACTACACTACAAGGCTCAAATGTCCACGGAAGATGTTAAAATTAAGAATTAAGAAGGACTCGTCCGCTGAGGATGATACCCTTAACTATGTATGGTGTCATGTCATGACCTGCACTCGACGTTGGTGATGAAGTAGGCGCTGACCTTTTGGCCCACCTTGTTTCTGGTAGGCAGCAGCAGGCGCCATGGTTTGTAGAGAGCTCGCAGCGTCGGCAAGCCGTAAGGAGAGAAGATGTCCTTGCCCATGACCTATGAACCATTTGAGCTTCGGCCCGAAATCGACGTTTCGTATCTCCGGGCCCGTCCTTTTTGTACCATGTACACCCGAAGCGGCTGATCTGTTGGTTGCTGTTGACGTTGTTGTTTTCGGCCATCGATGTCTTCGCTTCATCAGCTGCTGCCGTCTCTACCCTACCGCGTCCTACCCTGTTAACTTGTGCTCCTGGTGCTGCATGGTCGTGTGGTCGGTCTGCAGGACCAAGAGCTTGTCGTCCGGCAACACCTGGGCGAGCAGCTGGAGGAGATCGCCAGGTTTTGCAGGCTGCAGGGCAAGGAGGCTGGCTACAGGCTCATCATCGAGGTAACAAATGACTTGTAATATGTAGCTACAACCAGGAGCAGTAGCACTGAGATGGTGTCGCGCTTGGTTCGTGCAGCTGTAGAAAGAACCCGTCGTCGCGGTTGAAGACGCTCGGACGTCTGTCTGCCCCAAGACATGCCCGTTCCGTGCTATATAGACCAGACTCCGTCCAGTCCCGCCGGAGTGAGCTAGCTGTGTGTTTTTGTTTCGGTGCTTGCGCCCTACAACTGTTTCCATGTTTCCCCACTAACGATGGTGCTACACTATAGAGCAGCAGCAGTCGTTAGTCTTTCCCCTGCGAATGAACCACGTGCTCGTCAAGCCGCACACATCGTAGTACCCCCCCCCCCCCCCCCCCCCCCCAGCAAAAAAACCGGGAAGAAAAAAAAAAAGGAAAGGGTTCCGGGGGAAGAAAAACGGTTTGGGAAAAAAGGGGACCCCCCAATAAATTCCAAAAGGGATT